GAGAATGAAGAACACCAAAGACACAAAGAAAGTAGTAGCCCAAGAGACAGAAAGGGCCACATAAACCAGAGACTTCATCAGCCCTGAGACCAGAAGAACTCGATGGTGCCTGGCTACCACCAATGACCACCCTGACAGGGAACACAACAGAGTCCCTGTTGGAGCAGGAGAAAAGTGGGGTACAGAACTCAAATTCTAGTGAAAAGAACAGACTTAATGGTCTGACTGAGACTGGAGGAACCCCAGAGAGCATGGACCCCGGACTCTCTGTCAACCCAGAACTAAAACAATTTCCGAGGCCAACTCTTCAGACAGGGATTGGACTGGACTGTGGGACATAAAGTGATACTAGTGAAGAGTATGCTTCTTAGTCAAGCAGATAGAAGAGACCAAAGGGGCAGCTTCTGTCCAGAGGTGAGACGGGAAGGCAGACTGAGTTAGGAGCTGGTTGAATGTTCATGGGGAATCAGGGGCGGAAAGGAGGAGTGTGCTGTCGCAGAATGGGGTGAGTACTTAGGGTCTCATAACAATGTACGTAAAAAAAATTTGTATGGGAGAATAACTTGAAATGTAAACTTCATTTAATTACAACAATAAAAAGAAAGAAAGAAGCTTGTCTGAAGAGTGTGAGGAGGGAAAGAAAGGCAGGAGAAGAGAGTCTTAGAGAATGGTCTAAGTTTAAAATCTTTGCTGACGGGAAAGTCAGGAAAAGGAAAAGGATTAAGCAGGACTAAAACCTAAATGAGGTTAGATACCAAGACTCTGTAGAGGTACCCAAACTCCACACCACCACTACCACCAGTTGCTGTGGAGTCAATTCTGACTCATGGCTACCCCATGTGTGTCAGAGTAGAACTGTGCTTCACGGGGTTTTCAATGGCTGATTTTTTGGAAGTAGATCACCAGGCCTTTCTTCCAATGTGTCTCTGGAACCTCCACCCTTTCAGTTAGCAGCTGAGAGCATTAACCGTTTGCACCACCCAGGGACTCCACTCGATCTCTAACCTTATATAAATTTTCATAGTGGCACTCAGTAGCCTGTATTTAGAAGTAGAAAAGGTAGATTATGAGAATGATCCAGGGTGGAAATCTTGCTACTAGGAAGTGTGACAAGAACCATAAGGTAAAAGCAAAGCCTTCCAGAAGGTTGTTAGAATTAAGGTGAGGTGATGGTAGTGGAAATGCAATGGAAAGGTACAGAAAAGAGAAATATTTCTAAGAAGATTTGATAAGACTTGCTGATGGATAGGATATAGAGATTTAAATAGTCAAAGATGTCCTCAAAGATTCAAGTGTGGGTGGCTGAATAAATGGTGGTACTACTGGCAAAGACAGAAAACTTGGGAAATTCAAGTTCATTTTAGAGAAGATTATTAATTCAGTTTTAGATATGTTGAGTTTCAGGTGAAGGTAAGACATCTAAGTGCAACAATGGGGTAAGTAATTAGTAAGATAAATGAAACAAATGCAATAAATAAAAAATACATACATACTTTAGTTCCATATCGTTATGGTAGCCATTCCTGTGCTAATAAGATCTGGGGCTGGATGAGGGACATGAAGAAATAAGTGAGAATGATGAAGAAGAAGAGAAGGATACGAGGAGGAACATATACAAATAGCAGATGGAGAGGAAGGCAGAGACAGAAAGAAGAGGGAAAACGGGTGAAGAGTGAATTAATTAAGATGGTATATGTTAAATTGGTTTTGTATTACCATTTACTCACTTGTAATATGGACTTCTACTGTTACCATTGTTTTTTCAAATTCTCATTATCTAATTTACCACTATTAAAAATCCTGCAACTATTTTTTAATCCTCAAATGTTTACTGCTCCCAAAATGGAAGAGTTAAGGCAGGGTTGAAAAATTATTCTTTGAGCTCTAGCTTCAGAGGCTAGTGCAAAATGACCTCAATGCCTAGATTAAATTTTGCCCACACCCAGGGTGAGAATTTAACCCAAACCCTGTTTCCTTCTATCTAATAGCCTTGAAACTTCAGACCAGAGTACTAAAATGGCCCTCCTCTCAGAAGTGACCAGAGTGCACACACTTCTCATAGCTGACTTCATTCAAATTTACCTAATGTCACTAAACTAGAAGCTACTTATTTCAGATACCCTCAGCCCAGCAATAGCAAAAATACCCTAATAAGCGGAACTCTGTCATTCATTTTCCTAAACATCTACCCCTACTTCCAGAAGCCCTATCGCTTCTATTTCTATACTTTCCTAAATAAGCATTCCTTAAAATCCTAGCTAAAAACACAGATCTCTATATAATGTTTTGGGATATGTTGAATACTACTAAGTAGGAAACTGAAATAGTACAGACACAGGGTAAGCACTCAATAAATAAAGATGACCTGGTAGTTCCCTGATTCACATATTGAACTAATCTCTACTGAGGCAGGCCTACTCTGTGCCAGTTTATATCTTCAGCACTGGAAACACAGATTCATTAGATGAAGTCCCTTCCTTCAAAGATCTCACATTATTATTAGTGAAAAAGACAGATGGAGAGAGAATTAGATATGCAGGTTAAGGGAGCAAAGAAGATTAGCTTTGAAGGAAGTGAAAAGGCTTCCAGGGAAGCAGCATGTTAAAGAATGAGCAGGAGATAGATAGCCAGAAGAAGAGTATGAGGATATTCTAGGCAAAGTGGACAGCATGAATAGGACACAGAAACAAGAAAAAGAGCAATGGTTTCTGGAAACCATAAACAGTTTGTAAGTACTGACCCACATAGTTCATGGGAGGTCTTATACTAGCAGAGGATAAGCCTAGAGAAGGTAGGCAGGGACAAGGTGGTAGGAAGCTAAGGAGCTTGGATTTTATTCTTAGAAAACGGAAAAACAATGAAGGATTTTTAAGCAGAGGAATGACATAGAAAGACTTGTACTTTAGGTAAAACATTCTAGTGGTTACACTGAGGGTGGATCTGAGGGCAGGTAGAGTGGTTAGGAGGCTGTGGTAATATCCTAGGATGAAGCTTCTCGAAATGTATTATGTGAGTACAAATCACCTAGGGATATTGTTAAAATGCAGATTCTGATTCAGTAGGTCTGTGGTGGGGCCTGAAATTCTTTTTCTTCTAACAAACTCCCAGGTGGTGCTGATGCTGCTGATCCATAAAGCATACTCTGAGTAGCGCAGCTCTAGGAAAGATGTTGAGGCCCTGAACTAGTGTGAGAGGAGCAAGGCTAGAGATAAGGGGTAATAATATTCAGGAGGTAAAGCAGTCACAGCTTGGTGCTTCATTAGATATAGAAAGTGAAGGTGGGGGTAGCGGATTCAAGTTAATTGCACGTTTCTAACTTGAACAGTTGTTTATTACTGTCTATCTCAACTGAGTTAGAGAATACTGGAGGAAGTGCAGGTTTGGGATGAGAAGATGTGTTCAGTTTTCGACAAACTACATTTGAAATGGCTATGAGACCTCTAGGTGAACAGCTTAGCTGCCAACTGGATATGTGAGTCTAAATCTTGACAGAAAGATCATCAGCATACAGATGATAGGTGAAACCAGGGGAATAGATTTAGATCATGTTTGTAGAGTGAGAACAGTGGGTCAAGAATGGAACCACAGGAATATCTACACTTAGGTAATGGGAAAAAAAAAAAAAAAAGAGCCCACAAAGAAACAGAAAAACAGGAGGAGAACCAGGGCATAAGGAGTCACATACGACAAAGAAAAGAGGTTCAAGAAGGAGGAAGTAAGAAACATTTTCACATGAAGCAGAGAGATCTAGCAAGAAAAGAGATGAAAAATAACAGTAAAGAGGAAAATAATTAAGTAGAAAAGAGAATACGAAAGGGGAATAAAATACACTAGTAGTGAGGAGGTGTCTGTGGGGGAAAAATGAAAAAAAAAAAAGGTTAGACAAGCAAGTGGATTACTCCAGTCAGGGTCAGTCTCTATTGTGCCTGAGTTCTTGCCACTCTTTCTTAGCTCCAAGACCTTTGTTAAGCCTGTCTCTCCTTTTCTCATTTCTATCAATCTAAATCATATATTTCCTCTATGAAGAATTTCTTGACCATGATTTTTCATTCCTCTGATTACCTAAAAACTGTACACAAAAATCCATGTCTGTAGCCTCTTACAATGAAGAGTTATTAACTCAACTAGTTTATACACTAGTTCTTTGAGGGCAAAAGGCATATCCTTATTTGTATTCCCATGTATGACTAGACACGTACCCAACAGACACTTAAATCATCCTTATTCACTGAATGATATAACCACAGGATACGCATTTAAAATACTACCTTGTGTACCTATGATAAAACGGTACCATGAGAATACCTATATTTAGTTCTGTAATTAACAGGAGTAATGTAAACCTCTCTGGGTCTCATTTTACAGAAAGTGAACAGATAGAACTAGATCGACTCTAAAATCCTTAAACCAAAACAAACAAAGACAAAAAAACAAACCCATTGTTGTTGAGTTGATTCCAACTCCAAGCAAACCTATAGGACAGAGCAGAACTGCCCCATAGGGTTTCCAAGGCTGTAAATCTTAAAGGAAGCAGACTGCCACATCTTTTTCCCACGGAGAGGCTGGTGGGTTTGAATCGTCAACCTTTTGATTAGCAGCCAAGCACTTAACCACTTCCACCACCAGGTCTCCTTCTAAAATCTTTACTTATCTAAAATTCCTTGATTCCATGAACAATGCCAACTTTTCATTCAGTAAGAATAAAATGGCTTATAAATAAGCTAGTATGTTTTATAAAATATAAAGTTCCTATGAAAGAGTTTTGGGATATTTTTACCGCTTAGCATTTGCATTTGATTCTGCTGGAAAAAGTTGTTTTCTTATCTTGTCTATATACTTCTTCCTAGCTTCATTTCTTTTGTGCTTTTTCGCAACATAATGTTGTTGGGCCATTAATGGACTATTAAAGGATGCAGGACAGAGCTTGCAATATTTGTTTGGATTATTCAAATCCAAAGCACTGTTCAAAGAGGAAAGCATAGTCTTGTCTTTAATCTCACCTGGAGGAGGCTTGACAGCAAAGGGCTTCATGAAGGTTGGCTCTGCAGAAGCAGTAATAGGCACACCTGCTGAAATAGTCATAATGAGAAGTGATAAACATTTGTCCAGATAGTAGTTATATTCATTATAAATTATTAGGGAAATTTAGAATTATTTAAAAATACACTATCTTTGCACTTTTTCCAAAGGGCTGCTGGATAAAGGTACTAAAATAAAAAATATTTCCTTCTGTGAGAATGAAAGTTTGAATACAAGTTTGTCACCAAATTTCTCCAACAGCGACATGGGAAGGAAGGAATGTTCAAGCATCAGGCATTGCCTAATTATATTCATTTGAAGAATCAATGAAAGCTCAAGAGCTGTCTTAGGATGCTTCTCAAAATTAGTGAAAATGAAACAGATGGTATCAACTTGTAAGTTGGTTTCTTTCTTGAGTAGCATAGTAAGTCACTTATTTAGTCTAGATTTGTGATGTTTATATCACAATAAAATTTACATAGTTTGTTAAGGCTGTAAAATTATGCATGCCTTCATAATCGCAATCATTTCAGAGCTCTTTCATCTCTGAGCCGAAATCAATGAATTTTGGGGACTGAAGACAAGGCTTTACAAGATGCTTTCTCCTGTAGGACACATTGATCATGTCCCTCATTAGAATGACAGGTAGAAAAACAAACATACAAAACTTAGAGAGAATACAGTTAAAAAATAATTATGGTTTTATTTATTAATAAAACAAGAACTTTTTTCTCTTTTCTCAACAATTTCTGTATGTATAATTCAGTGACATTGATTACACTCTTCAAGTTGTGCAACGATTATCACCATCCTTTTTCAAATTATTACACCACTATTAACATAAACTCACTGCCCACTAAGCAAAAACTCCCTCTTTGCCTCTCCCTCCCAACCCCGGTAACCACTAATAATTTCGGTTTCTATATATTTGTTGATTTCACATAAGTGATATCATATAGTATTTGTCTCCTTTTGTAACTAATTTCATTTAGCATAATGTTTTCAAGGTTTATCCATGTTTCCTGTGGCACTGACTTTGCTGGGTGATGCTGCCACTATAAGCTGGAAATTAACATTGGTAAATTTTCCATGCTACGCATTAAAACCTTACTCCTAAGGTGTCAAGGCTAGTAAGAATGTGGTAAATCATTTGATCCAGAGGCATAATTATCTTACTTTTCATCTAGAACATAAGTTTTTCAAAATACAGGTTAGATTTTTCAGGATGTATATCTCAGGCAACTTTGGGTGAGATTTCTCATATGTACTGGTGGCTTGAGTATTACTGGAAGGAGGAAAGAGGCACATTGTATATTTCTCTTTATCTTTGGGATGTGGCACAAAATAAGTACTCAATAACTACTGATTGATGATGCTGGTGGTATCTTTACTATATATACTCATAGGAAGAAAGGAATGGGCTGTTAGGCTAGAAAGAGATCCAGTAACTTTTTTTGGGTGTGTGCCTTACAATTATCATTAAGAGATGCTAGAGCCATAACCATATTATGGTGAAGACATTGTCTGGACACAGATACAATATAATGTTTTAGAAAGTATTAAAGCAAAAACAGAATTAGATAGACGTCAAGGGGAAGAAGTAAGAAGGAGCTGGTAGAGCTCAAGCTACGTACTGTTGTCCCTTTATAGCAGTATAGCAAATCACTTGCTTTTACTTGGAATTAATAAATTGCAAGGGAGAGGTCATAACATTTCTTAAAATTCAGCTAGTAATTATAATCTCCATATTAAATGACAAGGACACAGAAATTAACTGGGCAGATGAAGAATAATCAAATTACTGCCCCAGAGTGAAAACTTCCCGAATAAAAAATAGATGGCAGAGATGGAAAAAATGATAGATAGCCCCACTATTGAAGATAAAGAGGCGAATGGAACCTTACCCATTTCTGGCTGAAATCCTGATGGAGATATCTGATCGCATCCTCCCATTAACTGCTTCGTGATTTTAGCATGGATTCCCCCCATATAGTGAGAATGAGCAACAACTGTGGAGCTAAAAACTATGTTGCAAAGATCACAAAATTTGTTTTTGTCCACTACTCCACTCCCATGGACCTGCGATAATCACAATCTTGTTAGAAAGATTCAAAAACTCAACGTTTAGAATTACAACCTCAACACAGACCACTCACCTGAAAATTCATAGCATGCATCTTCATTTGCTTATCAGGTGCTTCAAATTGTTCCCCATGCATTTGAAAATAAAACCTAACATTCTGAGCATTTTTTTTCCTTTTTTTATTTTTATTTTTTATTGTACTTCAGGTGAAGGCTTACAGAACAAATAGTTTCTCATGAAACAGTAGTATACGTATTGTCTTATGACATTGGTTAACAACCCCACATGTCAACCCTCTCCCTTCTCGACCTTTTTTTTTTTTTGGTGAAAATATACACAGCCAAAGATACACCATTTCAGAAATTTCTACATGCACAGTTCAGTGACATTGACTACGCTATTCCAACTGTGCTGCTATTCTCACTTTAGATGAAGGCTTACAGAACAAAATAGTTTCTCATTTAACAGTTAGTACACGTTGCCCTATGACAATCGTTAACAACCTCTCAACACTATCCTTACTCAACCTTGGGTTCCCTATCACCAGCTTTCCTGTCCCCTTCTGCCTTCTGGCCCTTGTCCCTGGACTGCTGTACCTCATTAGTCCCATTTGTTTAAAAATATGGAATGCTTCACGAATTTGTGCGTCATCTTTGTGCAGGGGCCATGCTAATCTTCTCTGTATCATTCCAATTTTAGTATATGTGCTGCCAAAGCAAGCACTTGAGCATGTTTTTCACTCTCAAAAAAGATATAATATGACTGTTTATTCAATAACATAGTCACCCCAAATTTACACCTCACTGATTTTGAAGACAGCACTCATGAGTTTTAATATACTTGGTCTATAACAAATTTATAAAAGCAATTTAAAATGAAACTACTACTACAATTTAAAAGCCAGTAACTTCTAGGTTCCGGTTTGTAACAGAGACTCTTAGTTGCTACCTATTATCTATTTTCTTCTTCTTCCTTAGTTACAAATCTTGGACAATGCATCCAGCTAAAAAGACGACATTTTCCAGCCTCCCCTTTCAGCAAGATCTAGCAATGTGACTAAATTCTGTCCAATAAGAAGTAATCTGAAGTGTTGAGTAGAACTTCTGGGAAGCCTCCTTAAAAGGCTGGTGGATGGCCTTTTTTTTATCCTTCTTCCCTCTTGCTGCTGGAATTCAGATGTGAAGGCTGGAGTTTCAACAGTCATCTTGGACCATGAGGGGAACTTGAGGATGGAAACCTGTTCGTTAGAGCAGAAAGACAGAAAATGCCTGGGTCCCTGATGGGATATGAATCTATCATATCAGTCCTGCAAAGCCTACTCCCAACTTGTTTTATATGAGGAAACCCTTCTGGGTTTAAGCCATTTTAGAAACACTCTCTGAACAAATGTATAAACAAATACATAAGAATACCCAAAATGGTGGTGTAGAGAGAAGGGAAACTAACATTTCCTGAGAACATACTGTGAGGTAATCACTCTATCTTCACAGAATTTTAAATTATGAAATATACTGATCCGAAGTGGGGCCAAGATGGTGGAGTAGTCAGACGCTTCTGGTGTTTCCTCTTACAACAAAGACCCAAAAAAACAAGTGAATTGATTATATATGACAATCTAGGAGCCCTAAACATCAAAGGCAAAGTTGAGGAACCAGACTGAGCGGCAGCAGGAGGAAGCAACATTTGGAAACAGCGAGGAGTTGCCAGACCTGACCCGGCAAGAGCCTGAGCCCTTCAGGCCAGAGCAGCTCGTGAGCGAGCGGTGAGGCAGGCAGGCAGGCAAGCGATGCTCCAGAGGCATTTTCCACACAGGGAGAGACCTAGCGGCAGAGAGTCTACTCAGCCATCCAGAACCAGTGAGAAGCAGCCCTATTAGCAAAAGATAAATACTTGTGTCCAGCCTACTGCGCGGATCAAAAACACCCCCCTTAGGGAAAAATCTCTCTCCCATTTACCTCCCCACTCCCTGCTCTGCACTGGGTCCCAGACCGGCTTTAGCAATTGCCAAGTCCCCTGGGCCGGAAGAAGGACCCATCACGTGCCCTCAGCCATTCTCCTGACCTTGGAGAGGGAACAAATTAACAAAAAGGGGAAAAAATAATCTGCCGGCTCCCCTAATCCAGGAACTCAGGGTAGGCAAAGCTCCTTTGCCTAGGCACAGACATAGGGATCCATAGACTTTGAGTGCTTTTCTTCCTGCATAGACTTGTGTGGGCCCATTTCAACAACATACGTCCTCATTACTGCAGTACAACAGGGTATATACCTGAAGTCTAACTTCAACTGTTTCAGCTGTTAAGTGGCAGGTTCATGACATTTGACACTGCTATGCCCATTAAGCAAGGTCTTCACCTACCCACATCAAAGGCCTGAGGGGACTGGTGGCTCCACCCATGCCACCTAACCACCTAAGACAGGGGCCCATGAGTAAGAGGTGCCCCCCTAGTCCTTACAGCCAACATCACTGGGTGCTCATAGTCTAGCTGCAAAACCCACCCATCCAGTGCTCTAGGGAATAGGAACACACTTTCCTCCTGGACACTTGGGGGTGTCCACAGGCCCCCTGCCTTGATCAACCTGTGTCTCCCTGCTGCAGCCAGATGTCTGTGCCTACACCAATCACCCATGCCTGTCTAGAACTGTAGGTGAGAGCCTGCACCACACACTTGGTGGCTGACTACCTGGACACCTGAGCTGAATCCATACAGAAGGAGTGGACAGACTCCTGAGCTCACATACTAAGTGGCAGGTCTGGCCACTGGGGACAGGACATTGGAGCTTCAAAGGTGCTGGTGACTGGGCTAGCTCACATAAGCAGCCTATTCGGGCATATCAAAACAGAACAAAACAAGAAGCAAATGTAAAATAAATAAATATAATAACTTATTGATGGCTCAGAGACAACAGTCAATATCAAATTCCATAAAGGGGCAGTCCATGATGGCATCAGCAAGCTCCCAAAATAAAGAATCTAGAAATTTTCCAGAGTAAGAAAATTTCTTGGAATTGCCGGAGGCAGAATACAAAAGATTAATAAACAGAATTCTTCAAGATATTAGGAAGGAAATTAAGAAAAATGCAGGACACGCAATACAGGAAATTAGAAAGATTAGAGAAGAGCATAATGACAAATAAAACAGGCTGCAAGAATCCATAGAGAGACAGCAATCAGAAATCCAGAAGATCAACAATAAAATTTCAGAATTAGACAACTCAATAGAAAGTCACAGGGGCAGAACTGAGGCAATGGAAGTCAGAATTAGTAAGACTGAAGATAAAGCACTTGACACCAACTTATTTGAGGAAAAATCAGATAAAAGGATTTAAAAAATGAAGAAACTCAAAGAATTATGTGGGACGCTATCAAGAGGAATAACCAACCAGTGATTGGAGTACCAGAACAGGGGGGATAACAGAAAATACAGAGAGAATTGTTTAGGATTTGTTGGCAGAAAACATCCCTGATATCGTGAAACATGAAAAGATATCTATCCAAGATGCTGATCAAACCCCACATAAGGTAGACCCCAAAAGAAAGTCACCAAGACATATTATAATCAAAGTTGCCAAAACCAAAGATAAAGAGAGAATTTTAACAGTGGCTGGGTATAAACGAAAAGTCATCTACAAAGGAGAGTTAATAAGAATAAGCTCCGACTACTCAGCAGAAACTATGCAGGAAAGAAGGCAATGGGATGACATATATAAAGCCTTGAAGGAAAAAAAAAAAAACTACAAGCCAAGAATTATATACCCAGCAAAACTGTCTCTCAAATATGATGGTGAAATTAGGCATTTCCAGATAAACACAAGTTTACGGAATTTGCAAAAACCAAACCAAAATTACAGAAATACTAAAGGAAGTCCTCTGATTAGCAAATCAATAACATCAGATAACAACTCAAGACTAGAACACAAGACAGAGCAACCAGATATCAAACCAGATGGGGAAGTCACAAAAATAAATCAAAGCTAAAACACTGAAAATAGGGAAACAGAAGTCAATATGTAAAAGATGACAACATTAAAACAAAAAAGAGGGACTTAAAAAACGTAGACATAGATTTTTCACATAGAGTGGAAGTCAAGGCGATATAAAGAAATAAAAGACTGGAATAAACTTAGAAAAATAGAGGTTAATATTAAGGTAATCACAAAGGAAACTAACAATCCTACAAGTCAAAATAAAAAAAAAGATATAAAGACTCAGCAAACACAAAATCAACAATGAAAAAGCTTAAAATACATAAAGAAAAATGACTCATCACAGAAAATTAAATGGATCAAAGAAACTGTGAACCATACACAAAAAGACATCAAAATGACAGCACAAAACTCATACCTATCAATAATTATGTTGAATGTAAATGGACTAGATGCACCAATAAAGAGACAGAGAGCGGCAGATCAGATAAAAAACAAAATCCGTCTATATGCTGCCTACAAGAGACACAACTTAGACTTAAAGACACAAACAAACTAAAACTCAAAGGATGGGAAAAAACATATCAAGCAAACAACACTCAAAAAAGAGCAGGATTGCCAATATTAATCTCTGACAAAA